CCCCCCCCCCCCCCCCCCGGGACTCATGAGCACTTGCCTATATGCTCGGAATAACTCAATTCTGAAAGCGGTAAAAATAATATGTTGAGAGATTCTTACGCTGCTTCATGATCTCGGTTCAACTGTTCAAGCATGCACTGGCTTTGCTTCATGATATCTCCCCGAAGGCAGCTAAAGGGATTGACACATTCTGCATCAACACACTGAGAAGTGAGTTTTCCATTTTTGCATAATTCATCTGTTTACATTTTTTATTAGTATTTTTTCTTAAAAAATTGAGTATTATCACAAAGGATTTATCATATACATGGCAATAACTCCACCAAGTTATTGCATAGAGGGTCCAAAACTTCACAGTAGGGCCCCTTAAGTTTTGAAGCATTCTGGACCTTCCATGCATGAACTATACCATTGAGTTATTTTAGAAGATCCATATCCATATATGGTAGTGAATAATGCTTGATTGTGCTTCTATGCAGATGATTGTCTTCTTGCTGTGAGGACAACGTTGCTGCCTATAAACAAAAGAGCATTTTTATCACTTGCTTAGGATGGTAAACAAGTTGGTTGGTACTTATATGCACTACTGCCAAAAGCATGAATAAATTTTCCCTGTAACTGAACGAACTAGCTCCTTTGTGGTACATACTGTAAGTAATTGATGGCGGACATGCCGAATATGAACCCCTACATATTGATGAGTAAATTTTACTTTCCTCCACATCTAATATAGTGTTGTTTTCGTATTTAGTTCAGATCTTTTATTTTTATTAACTTTGATGGTCTTGACTTGATGCTAGTGCCAAATTCGGTCATTCATTGGCGATCGTTCAAGTACAAAGGTAAAAATTGAGATTTACCTTGTCTTTTCTTTCCCAAACCACGCATGTTATTTTTTTTCCTTTGATAATCTTGATTTGATGGTAGTGCTAAATTCAGTCATTCTTTAGCAATCATTCAAGTATCAAAGGTAGAATTGAGATTTACCTTGTCTTTTCTTCGCAAATATGGAAGCTCAACTGATCTGGAAACTATATAGTTTAAAATCAATACTCTTTCTTTGAAAAGATCATCCACCATTGAACAACTGTTGTCTTATCACTTTTAACTTTAAGGCGCCTATATTAGTCATAGATTCTGAGTATTCATTATAAGTATCTTATCATCATCATCATCATCATTGTCGTTGTTTGAAATTTTATTAGCATTTGAAGAATGAAACAGTCAAGTTTTCAACAATCTTACCTCTTTTCTTCTGGGTGGGTTTACAATGCTTTTTATGACACATAAGTCCCAAACCAAACATGAAATGGTTGGACTAGGAAAAAAATCTTGGGATTTTAGTATTGCATCCCCTCTATTCTATCTGCGAACTGCTAGTGTGTGTGTCCAAATATATATAAATATATGTATGGTAGTTATGTATGTACGTATGTAACTATGTAAAATGGTCTGTCTGATCTTCCATTTCCTGTTTACTGCTTCGCCGGCTGAACTATTCTCCAAACCTTAACAGATTTATCCAAACTCCCACTGTACACGCTCCACCGCTGCTCGCCGGCGTCTTTGCCATTCTCCGCTTCGACGGCCAAGCACTTCACGGGCCCACTGTGACCGTTCAGCACTGACATGCATACGTGGACCGCCCCCTCCTCTCTCCTCCACACGCAGATGCTATTGTCAGCGGAACCGCTGAGCACCAGGTTCGCCACGGCTGCGAGGCAGAGCACGCCCAGCTTGTGACCCCTGAGAACCCCTCCGTAAGTCATGAAGCTCTTCTCCCTCTCCCAGAAGTTGACCAATCCGTCGGATGATCCTGCGTAGACCATCGCCGCCGAGATGTTCACGGCGAGGGAGGTCACCGCGTTGTCCTGCTTTAGCACCGTGTCTACCAGCACGTGCTTCGTTGCCGTGGGAGTCTTCCCACCGGCTGACGACATCTCCCTCCTCCAAGCTTTCACGGTTCCGTCGGCCGATCCGGTGAAGATCAGGCTGTCGAAGCCGACGACCAATGCGTTGATCGCGTCATCATGGGCGTTGACTGATTCGACGCATTTGTTCTCGGATAGTTTCCAAACCTTGATGGTCTTATCCCAGGATCCGGAATAGAGCAACCCTTGTTCCTCGTCCAAGCTCATGCACGAGACGGCGTCGTGGTGCTTGATCCGTGGGGCATTCTTGTTTTTCTTGTTGATCTCGACGTAGGATTTCGGGTTCATGGAACTTTTGAGGGAGTCTCTGGTGGTGGGAAGGCTTCCGAGGCGTTTGTAGGTCTTCTTCTTCTGGTCGGCGAATTTCCAGACGCGGATTTTGCCGTCCTGATGGCCGGTGAAGATCTTGTCGTCCCCCAAGATGACGATGGACTTGACCAGGCCGCTGTTCGACTTGAAGCTGGAGTACTCCTTGGTGTCCTTCCAGACCCGGATGTTCTTGCTGTCGGATCCGGTGTAGAGGAGGTCGCCGGAAGCGGCCAAGGAGTATATGTGGCCTTCTTCACGGATGAGGGAGCCGACGAGGGAGGTTTCCCGGACATCCGCGGTCGAGGCCGTCTCGGCAGCGGCGGCATGCTCGTGGGTCCACGGGGAGGAACCGGCGGGGAGCTGGTTCCACGGGGACAAGGCGGAGGGGGAGGCGGAGCCGCCTTGGAGACTAGCGGCGGCTGCAGCCATCTTCGTTGCTCTGGTTATATTTTAATAGACGGCTACTGAGGTTGTACGGAACGTCGTCGGATAATCCGAGGGGACGGGGGCATGTTAGGTAGGGGGTGAGGGGGAGATGATATATGTTCTAATGGCGTTCGAAATGAGGAGAGAAGCTAAAGGGGCATTTTGTGGTCCTCTCACTTTACCCGCCAACAATGTTGCCCCATTCATTATTTCAGGGGTTGGATATTAACATTCTTTCATATTTTAACAACAAAAAAAAAAATTAGAATTGATATTCACACTCAAAAAGTGTTAATGATGATACTCCATTTTTTATACGTGGAGTATTTGAAGACAAACTATATCATAAACTTAAAGTATTTATTTATTTATTTGTTAAAAATTAAACTATAGCATGAATTCGAGTCGTGCTCAAAATCCAATATTATGTGTCAAAATTTATATTCGATCGTCTAAATGGTCCCCAAATGTGCCTAAATCATTCTTTGTGTATATGTTATCATCGATCAATCATTAAAAAAAATAATGAATTACTAGTATTCTATTATCTGAATTAAGTCAAGCTATATTGAATGAATTGAAGAAATCCTAGAGTCACACGGAACGAGTTTACAAAAATCACGTCTTTTGTAAATTTTAATTTTTAACCATTTGAGTGCATCTTAACTTAAAAGTAAACTAATCAAAAAATTAGTATTATAAATCCTTCTAACACCGTCAATTAATTATAAAATAAAAAATAAAAATCATTTTAGAATAAAATTAAAAAATTCGTATCCGTTGAACAATGAAGAATAGAGGAAACAAAAATAGTGAGAAAAAAACTTCGAAACAAGAAGGTGAAAGACGGAGTTTTTTGCCATTGTTTGCCTAAGACCCAGATTAATTAATTCACTGAAACAGTTCGAACATATGCCATTGTTTGCCAAAGATTTGTGAGTTGAAATTGCAGAAATGAATTGCTAAACAATTCTTTATGGAAAAGATAGAGCATAGCAAAAAAAATTGTGGGTCTGGATCTAGAAAAAAAAAGAAACAAAAATGTGATAATGTGACACTGTACATGAATATTTTACCATACTTTTTAGTAATGCGCACGGTCATGATTGACACTATAAATGCATTTTAACTCTTATTTTGGGAATAAAAACATTAATTTCTATTTTGATATATTTCCAATGCTTTACTTCTATTTTAGTCTTTTTCCCTAAATCCATCAAAATCTATAATTTATAAAATTGTTTGGAAATCTACCAATTTTTGAATACCATTGAATTTAGAGTGATATTTTAATGGTGGATTTTGTCATTTAAGGGTGGATTTTGTCATACCCATTCACAGATTGCAGAATTCTAGCAGGGTAAAATAAATAAATAACCATTTATCAATATCTGGTAAGAAAAAACGCAGAAAACCAAGTAGAAAAAAAATTCATCCACACCCATAACTTACATCAGGTGTTGCAACAGCAGACTGAAATGGAACTTCAACCCTTTCCCTCACCACACATCGAACGTCTCCATTTTCAACCACCTCTACCTTCCCCGGCGGGCATTCCATTTTTCTTTCTTTTTCATCAACCCCGGGTGGTGTCGATAGGTTCATCAACTTGAAGTGGGCATTCCTTTTCTTAAGACTGGGCTCGAAACCAGCAAGTGTCAAAACAGATATTACCCCCAAAACAGTGATTGCTGTCTTTGCCACTCCCCCGATGAAATATTTTGCCATTTCCAACGGACTTTTTTTGGCCTTTGCTTGGTTTGATGGTCCATTGACATCTTTCCTCGATACGTTTCTTTCGCCTGACGTATGGAGATGTGAAATGTGAGTCTTGTTTGGGGGTAGCAAGAAAGATGATGGTCGGGTTGGGTACGGTGGGAGCAAGAGGTCGTTGTTTTCCTCTACTGTTTCGCCAACGAAAGCAATTGCCTCTTGTATGACATCCAAGTTCTCCCCTTTGTACTCCTTCAGCTTCTGCATCAACTCCTCTTGGGAGTAGAAAATTCCAGACAGGGCTTCTTCTCTCTCGTATAACTGTTGCTGCTGCAGTGCCTGAATGAAATGCGAACCACAAACACTCACCAACAGCATTAGTTATGATAGATAAATTTGAAATATGCGAAGATATTATTATAAATCATATTATAGCATTTCGATACCACATCAAGCAAAAACAGTATAATCCCAACTCAGTTGTTTTTTTTCCTTTGTAGGGGTGGGGGTGGGGGTCAAGATGTATGCAGCCTTCCCCTATTAAAAAAAACTGGTATATATGGGACTGAGTATTACAACAAAAAATCAAAAAAAGAAATGGAGTGTTACTGTTTACCAAAAATATGATAGTTTAAGGTGTGTTGAAGCACCTAGTCTGCCTGCCTTATGCAGTGATGCACTTTGCCTAAACAACACCAAATGTGAACTTTGTGCAACTACCTAGGGGCACCTAATGTCAAGGAGGCTGATTGTTGCAGGACCAATTGGGGTATGTTTCTAAACACAACTACTATAAACATTCTGGGAGTACGAAGTAAGACAACTTGCCACTGAGGTGCGTGTTTGGTTAAAGGGGAGAGAAAAAGGAAGGAAGGATGAGGATCAAAAGTTTTCCAAAAATAAAAAAAAGAAACCTCTAATTATCACCATTCCTTTCACTAAGCACACCCTTAAAATAGGAAACAACATTCCCATTGCCACCCAGGAAGTGACAGAGAACTGTCAAGCGCATTCATCTATGGCTGTCTGCGATGGGCAACCAAGGGTATATAGACATGTCGGAGAGCAGATTCCATGTCCCAAATTAATATCTCACCCTCATGTCTCACTCTCCCGATCCTACCACGTAGCACCACAACGAAGTGGGGCCACATTTTTGTGCTATGTGTCAGCATCCGAAGAGCGGGACACATTTTTGGGACGGGAATCCCCTACAGAGAGAGTGTGGACACCGGAAACCCTAGGTTAGACATTTTTGGAATTGCTAACTGGTTGTTTGACTATGGACAGAGATTCACTACGGTTAACACAACGCAACAGATTAGAACTCCCACAATTCAATTCAGTCAAAAACCCTAGTTTAGACATTTTTTCACATAACTCCAAGAAAATACCAGCAAGTTCAAAAAATTGAGGCATGAAGCACAGAAAATGAGCTAATTATTAAAGGAAAAAACACGCAGTATCAGGAAGAAATCAATGGATTCGGGTGGGTGGAAATAAATATACAAAAAAAAAAATCAAATTTTTTTAGAGCAGAAAGAGTATGAAGCAGGAAAGAAACCACCTGCAAAGACGAGACCTGAAGTTCGAGCTTCCGAAGAGCCTCTCGGATGGCTAAAAGGCAATCCGTGGCTTCTTCATCGGAACCGTCGACTTCGGTCTCCATGTCTGCGTCGTCGAAGCCGCGCTTCCCAGGTTCTGGCCTTCCATTTGTTCTCCCGGCGGCAATGCAATTTGTGGTCTTGGAACTCAGCTCTGAAATTCTAGCCAACACCAGCGCTATTCTATCTTCATCCATCTCTGTACCTCCCTCTCCACTTTGGAGCTTCATTTTCAGGTGTGCGGCCTTTGAGACACCACTCTTCAATATTTGTTCATTTTTTTTATTTTTTTGGGGGTCAAATTTGTCAAAATTTGATCGCTAATTAAATCAAAATTGTTATTAGATATTGATATAAGAACAATTTCAATAAACTTATCTTGTAAAATGTTTATGAAAAGTTATTTTAACATAATACACGTATTATACTCACATATGCGTATGATTTTTAAAAATACTTTAAAATTTATACGTATTTCATTTTGTAAATATATTTGCATATACCGTAATAGGTATTGAATAAATATTTCACTATAACTTTTTTTGGTAGGACAAGAGACATTAACTTTTCAACAAACATTTAAACCAAATAATGTACGGACTACTTCGTATCAATTGCTTATATAATACGGAGTACTTAATTATCGTCAAAAAAATTATGGCTACACTTTTTCCAAATTTTGATTTCATTATACTAATATTAAATTTTAACTACTAGATATGATACGTGATAGAGAACAATGTGTCGTTTGATCCGTGTAATCAGCCCACCTAGTATAATTAGATTTTGTTGTTGTTTGTCTGAAATAGACTTCACTCATTCCCCTTTTGCCCTTCCTAAAACTTTACTTTATTTTAAACGAAGGATTGAAAGTTTCACAACTTTTTTCTCTTTTAGTATGTAATTATATGCATATAATAAGACGTATTTTCAAAACACAAAAATTTTAGAATATGTATATATTCCAATCTCGAACATTTTATAAAATATGCAAAAATATGATTATATGTATTTCCATATAATACATAGAAATATCTTTTTTAGTTAAATGCAAAACTTAAGAAATTACTCCGCAAAGTATTGGGAGGAATGATGCAATGAAATTGCTGGAGTAGACGGCCTTCTCGTAGGTGCATCTTCGTCTCCAGATCGAACTTTGGGTCAATGGCGAATTGGACTCTGATCACAATCACTACGCTACTGCTCGCCCTTGTGCTGCGGCTCGCTGCAGTCGTGCTCAGTGGGCGGAGGAACAGGAAAAAAGCCGTCGGAATCTTCCACCCTTACACCAATGACGGTGGCGGCGGAGAGCGAGTCCTCTGGTGTGCCGTCAAGGCTATCCAAGACGAGTACCCCGATCTCCGCTGTGTTATCTACACCGGAGACCACGATGCTTCTCCGGAAAGTCTCCAAGCTCGGGCCTTTGATCTATTCGGTGTCGAATTGCTCAATCATCCTCAGGTATTTGGAGAATTAGTAGCGCATGAAATGTGGGAATTTGAAATATACTCCGTATTAATTTTAGTAGTATTGCTTTTAGGGTTGCAATGTGTGATCCATACCTATCGAGTATTGAATGTTTATATAGGCAAATGTGAAGGAGGAGCTTCAATGCCATAAACTGATGTGGCGCACTGGTTTCGGTTTCCAAGAGGGGCTTAAAAATACAACCTTTCAACTAGAATTTTGCTCATTTCATGAAATTTTTGGACGGAAATCATATCCGGAATAGCATAACATACTTGGGTCAAAAAATGAATTCTTGAATAAAGATGAATCTGGGTTTCCGTTCTGTGAAGAACTCACATATGAATACTACTCAGCCATGTTTCATCTTAACCAAGATCACCAAGAAGAAATTAACAAGGCCATAAATGTTCCTGTAAAGATTGATTTGCACATGAGTATAGCGCCAGCGGTTATACACATTGGGTCCTTGACTTTTTTTATTATAAATTCGTATCTTCTTTTTAAGTGCATTATCGAACGGCTTCTTTTTAGCTGATCTTTTTTGGATGTATTTAATGAGGGATTAATGTCATACTCATATATTGCATGATATTGACATCTTGCAGTCTTATGTTAGGTGGTCCATCTATATAAGAGAAAATGGATCGAAGAGACCATGTATCCCCGATTCACTATGATTGGTCAAAGCCTTGGTTCTGTCTATCTTTCGTGGGAAGCTCTCTCCAAGTTTACACCTCTATACTATTTAGATACAAGCGGATATGCTTTTACTTATCCAGTTGCCCGGACCTTTGGATGCAAAGTTATGTGCTATACACATTACCCTACAATCAGTTTGGACATGCTGTCGCGTGTTCATTCTCGGAATTCTATGTACAATAATGATGCCTTGATTGCTAAGAGGTACCATTTGCATATGTTAATACAGAGTATGTATTTTCTCAATCATTACTACTTCAGGACTTCATATATGTTTTTTTTAACTTTTTTATGTGTGGTAAATGATCAACTTTCAGATCTGGCCCCACCTGATTTTAACAGATTGAAATATCTTGATATCTTCCGCTAACTGATCTAACATATGATACTACCAATGTTATTTTCCTACAGTGGCTTATTGTCGCGGTGCAAAGTTATTTATTATACAATTTTTAGCTGGATGTATGGTTTTGTTGGTTCATGGTCACATCTAGCAATGGTGAATTCCTCATGGACTCAATCTCATATTGAGAAGCTCTGGGGAATAGCATCTCGTACTAGGAGGGTATATCCTCCTTGTGATACTTCAAGGCTTCAGGTTTACATATTTGTCCTTGTGCTTACCTACTCAGTTTTTTTTGTTTTTACTCCTTCCGTCCTGCAAAAAACTTCACTCTTTCCTGTTTCGTCTGTCCCTGAATAAATTTCAGACTTTATCAATTTCATTTTAGTGACTCACAATATTTCACTTTCCTCCAAAGAAATTTCAACCGCGGACTTTTCACTCTCAACCCTTTTCTTGAGCTATGTGATAGTCAAACGGGGAAGTTTTTTATGGGATGGAGGGTGTATAATATTTAGGTAACTCTTTATGCATTGACTTATTAAGTTTCATACAGGTGCTCCCTCTTGAAAGGCCAATGGAGCATCCTACGATTATATCCGTAGCTCAATTTCGTCCCGAGAAGGTGGGCATTCTTATATGACAAAATTAATCTGAGACGAGGGTATCTTCCCCTCGAGTTGCATTTTACTATTTGAGGCATGAAAACACAGTTAAAGTCATGTTTAATTGGCTTTCTGTGCACCAGTCCCACCCTCTCCAATTGAAGGCTTTGGCTCTTGCCATAAAAAAGTTAGAACCAAACCTACCAAAGCCCAAGCTCCAACTTGTCGGTAGTTGTAGAAACGAAGCAGATGAGAATAGACTTCAAAAGTTGAAGGGCATGGCAAAAGAGCTAAAGGTTGAAAATGACGTGGAATTCCACAAGAACGTAGCGTACAGGTTTAAATCATTTCTTCGTGTATTGTGCTAATGATTGCTTTCCAGTACTTGTATGACTACTAAAATGGTAAAATTGCGATATATACTTTCCGTGTCTATCTAGATGGTCAGCAGTTATGGTGTTTAAGATCTATTCAGCTATCTTTTGTTGATAACTTTCTATTTTCTCTATGCTTTAAATCACATTTATTATTAGTTGATTATCTTGCATAAACCTGGTGGTAGTAATTTCAATTTTTTGTGTGGGGGTGCTGCAGTGATCTTGTGAGGCTTTTAGGCTGTGCCATTGCGGGTATACATACGATGATAGACGAGCACTTTGGCATATGCGTTGTGGAGTACATGGCTGCCGGAGCCATACCAATCGGTCGGTTCTTATTTTCAAAGTCCCTCAAGTTTATCTTCATTCGCGATGCTTATAAAACCCAACTTTAACCGTTTTCACATCCTTCTCTCAGCTCATAATTCTGCTGGCCCAAAGATGGACATTGTATTACCCCAAGATGGAAAGCAGACTGGATTTCTGGCGCGAGATGTGGAAGAATATGCCGGTGCCATTGTTGAAGTCATAAAGATGTCCGGTGCCCAGAGGCTGGAGATGGCTGCAGCTGCAAGGAGACGAGCTTCGTTGTTCTCTGAACAAAGATTTTATGACGATTTTAAAGCTGCAGTTCGACCAATCTTGTCTCACGGGAGGTCCTAGTGATGATCTGACTATTGTTCCTAGGAGTTTGGAAACAAACATTTCATGTCTACATACTTGCACCTATTGCAAAAAACATTATGCTAAAGATTTCAGAACTCTCTAACATGGGGGTGCTGCATTTTCACAATATTAACATTTCACAATATTAACCGTAAAAACCTGAACATTTAACCAAACTACTGGACCATGTCTTTGAAGACCGGGTTACGAGTTGGATGGCCAACTGGTCCTAGCCGACCTCGTGCTCATAACGAAGTATGCCAAATGCCCCTACATGCACTCGGGTTGGTCCAGCCGATCTCAGTCACAACGATTAGCACGGGACCGAAATCTAACTCTTAAAAGTCCTCAAACTCTCACTACAATCTTAATATACCAAGTATTAAGTATTCTTCTTTCGACGTTATAGTTGTTATAGATACCCGTCAATTGACATACATACAAGGAGGATAGCCTCTCAAAGATTCAGTCATTTTTTATTTTGTATTTATTTTATTTGTTCATACTTCGTATAATTTAATTAATACTTTGGCTAGACGTGTGAAAATGCAGTCGTGCTTTTGGAAAGTTTTTCCATTAAACTTTTTTATTTGCTTCATTAATTTTTTTGAGCAATGCTAGGTTCATAAATAAAATAATCACAATTTTCACAAACTTACTATTTATTGTTTAAATTCTCATTTAAAAATTATTTTAGACAATTTTGTTTTTTATTTGAAGTTTACAAATAGTAAGACCATGTTCTCTTCAACTTATTTTATACTTAGTAGGTACTATTATTGGAATTTGTTCAGATCAGATAAAAAATAGTTTTAAATTTAACTACATTCAGATCAAAACTTATTCCAATCAAATTGAATAAAGAGAACAAGACATAAATTTGTGAGATTTGTGATCATTTTTTTGTGAACAAAGCATTTCCCTTTTTTTGAGAGACTTCATTAATCATTACTCCCTCCGTCCTAAAATTAACTTCTCAGTTTGACTTTTGTAGTCAAACTTTTTAAACTTTGACTGTATATTACGAAAAAAATACATTGAATTTTCATATAAATTTATTAGCAATAGATTCATTTTGAAACATAGTTTTGAAATATATAATTTTTATAAAATATATTTCTATAAAAATTGAGATATTGATGGTCAAAGTGTCTTATTAGAGACCGTGAAAAGTCAAATGTGAAGTTAATTTTAGGACGGATGGAGTACTATTGAGTAAAGTATTTTGAATTTTTTAAAAGTAATTTTGTGACTATTTTTAGTTTTTTTTTACGTCCGTTTTCATCCCAATCCAATCCATATTCGATAGTGATCGGTAAAAATGAAGCCGCGCGTGTTATTCCAGCTCGTCCGGTGGAGGTCATTCCGGTCAAATCATTCTCCAACGGAATTCCCAACTGACTGCCCGTGCGGTCCGTTTTCTTCCCGCCATTAAATCTCTGTATTTAATCCCTTTCCTCGCACAACCAATCTCCTCGATCACTCTGCACATTCATCATTCTCTGATTTCTCTCAATCAATCAAGCGAAGCTTCTCTTTCGCTCTCTAGAAGAACCGCCATGGCCGCCGGTGCTCTGCAACTGCAGATTCTCCTCGTCTTACTCATTCTCATCTCGCTCTTCATATCCGGAGCTACGACGGACACCGTTTCCCGTTCAGATTCATCGTTATCTCCGGCGTTCGCACCATCGCCGGAGCAGTACTCGTACGACGCTCAACTTTATGCGCCTCCGGTCTTCGCGAACATTCTGCGTGCTCTAGGTTTCGAGGAGCTGTCCGCTGCCGCCGCCAGCGCTAATCTCTCAACCGGCGCTCCGATCACCATCTTCGCCCCTGCTGATTCATCGATTCTCACATGCCGCTCGTGCGTTCTGCGGCTGCTTCTACACGAGCACTCTGTTCCTGGACTCTATCCGCTCGAATTCCTTCGGAGGTTGGCGTCTGGTACTAAGATCCAGACTCTCGCCGACAACCGATGCCTTACCATCACCACTTCCGCCTCCGTGATTCGGGATCAAGCGACGGTTTTCATCAATGGCGCGATGATCACTCAGCCAGATCTGTTCTACAATGGCGTCATCGTGATTCACGGCATTCAAGGCTTCGTGACTCATCTATCGCCGATGTCGTGCAGTATGGAGCACACCAATTCTCTCTCGTTTCCTCCACAGCCGTCATCGGTCTCTTCATCGGAAACGAAGAAATCTATCATGCCTCTTGTTAGACAATAATAATAGTATTACTTGTGGTAGTATTGGTTGTGGTAGTGTTTCATTATTAGTCAGCTTCCTAATCCTATTTGTGGTAGATGTTGTATGTTAGTTAGTTTCTATTCTATATTCCTAGTTGTGTTAGGAGTCTCTCCTATATATACTCTATCATGTACTTCATAATTCAAGGGAGCAATATTATTATTCTAATATTTCAACATGGTATCAGAGCCATCGCTCTTGGTAACCTAAAAGAGTTAATTGCTTCCGCCGCCGCTGCCGGTAATTCCGGCAACGGCGGCTCCACCCTATTCACCTCTATTTTCTTTTCCTTCTTTTATCCTCAAATAAAATTCTCCATTCAAATGAAAAAAAAAGAAAAAAACCTTTATTGAAATCACACACAAAAAAACCATCAAAGGCGAAACTTCTCTCTTGTCATCTCTATGATTCTTCAAAAAAAAAACCAACTCCACACAAACACTCTCAACTCATCCTTGTATCTTCTCAAAATCATGGAAAAAAAAGATAGTTGTTTCTCTACAATTCACTATCGAAGATTCTTAGACCTAGATCTTTTCTTCATCACCAATTCTTAATCCCCTTTTTTCTCTTTCAAATCACTCATTCTAATCATCAGTGTTTCTTCTCTTTATCCTTTGTTAACCAATAAAATTTCAAAAAAAATACAAAAGCAAAGCCAAGAAGGGAAGTAGTGAAAGAGGAAAGAATACCTCTACACCCCTTCAAGAAAGAAATAGGGCATTGCCCGGATCCAAGAAAAAGACAAAGAATGTCAAAGANTCTCCAATGACGTCAGCAGCCACCGGCGCACGTCAAACTTCTCTCTTCTCCAACGACGTCAGCAGCCACCGGCGCACGTCAAATTTCTCTCCTTTCAAAGTTTCCAGTTTCGAGCTAGTGTCCAAGCTTCCTCTTGCTTCAGCCAGAGTTCATCTTGAGGGGGGATGTTAGACAATAATAATAGTATTACTTGTGGTAGTATTGGTTGTGGTAGTGTTTCATTATTAGTCAGCTTCCTAATCCTATTTGTGGTAGATGTTGTATGTTAGTTAGTTTCTATTCTATATTCCTAGTTGTGTTAGGAGTCTCTCCTATATATACTCTATCATGTACTTCATAATTCAAGGGAGCAATATTATTATTCTAATATTTCAACACCTCTGATGCTAAAAGACGCCATCATCCGATTGGAGAACAGTCACCACAGAATCGTAGCCTTGGCGATGCGAGTGAAATTCGCCGAGCTTTCAAAGCTCAAATCCATGACCGTCTTCGCCTTGGAAGACTCCCATCTCCTGGCCGGTAACGGATTTCTGTATCTCTCTAATTTCCATTTTCACGTGGTACCGAACCGGAGGATCCTTTCCTCGGAGATGTTGAGTCTGCCGCAGGGAAGCACGTTGCCGACTATGGATCCTCAACACAGTCTGGTGTTGACCACCGCCGGCGAAGGAGGCAGAGTCAAGCCAGTTAGAATCAACTACATAACCATTCCGAGCCTCGATCTGATGCACAACAGCAGAATTGTGATCCATGGGGTGTCTTCACCATTCCCCCACATGTTCAAGCACATGGACAATGGCGATGATTTTGGGGAGATGGAGCAGTCGTCAAAGTGTGATTTCACATTGGAAGGCGGTGACATCTGCGACGACGTAGATCCACCAACGCCGGCGGGCATGCCATCAACGGTGGAGAGCGACATGGCCTCGATGTGAAATCCCATTTCTGCTTTGTCTCTCTGTTTGAGCATTGAGTCAATCATTATATTGACTGTATGGCTATATGGTTGATGTTGCTTTGTGTGACTTTAGTTGACTTGTACCTTCTCATACAAGTCCATTTGCAGGGCAGTTACATAAGTCTGTAAAAGTTTGTTCTCCATTAGCACTAGCCATTTATCTTTGGGTTCTCGCAAAAATATCCACATCTTTCAACGCAACCAATTGTCATCTTGCAGAGAAGTTTAGTAGCTAAATATTGTACACTCTCCAAGATTAACGGGGAAATTCAGCCACGATTGAGTCTTAACAAAAGTGATAGTATTGATTCAATGTGCGTCATTCGACTAAGAAAATACAAAAAGACATCAAATTATAATTAATCGAATTAATAACAGCAAATGTTTACTCTTGTAAACATTATGTAATATTTAGGCGACAAGTTTGAGAAACATAAATTCAAAATGTCACATACACTCTCTGTAGTGTTATTTTGAAAATGAAATTTGAGAAATTTTTCAATTAAATTTATTTTGAGACAAAAGTATCACTATTGTTCGTAATAGACTACCCAAACAGTATTTCCATCATGCCCCCTACGTATTAGTCTGATTTAAATTTTCATGGTCGTCACTTTAAATTTTTATATGCTTCTCCATCATAGACATATCGCCCCAGTTATTATTCCAGTTCGTAATAAGTTTTGTTTTGTATATGTTTTTATTGATTATTTGATTAAACAAATTTTAAAAGAGACAAAATCTTATTTGTTCGAAGTGAGACGACATTTTGGGATGAAAGTAGTAAATTTTTTTAATATTGCAGGACAAACCGACTAAGAAAATCAATTTTATATTAGTATTATGCAATGAATTTTTTAATTATATAATAACTAAATTTTTATAAAATACTTCCTTCGGCCCAAAATTAAAGTCTCATTTTTATGTTATGATGATTGACTGAAATTATAGAGTAGTAATTTAAAAATTATATCAAATATTCTATAAAATAATACTCTTTCCGCCCCAAAATGATTTACATACTTCACTATTCAAAAATCGCGAGAACTTTTGTTTATTTGTGTGTTTTCATTAAATATTTAATGAACTAAAATATTCTTGTCACATCTTGTTTTATAGAACTTTTGATGTACTTTTTAAATATATATGTAAGTTTTATTTTTTATTTATATACCAATCTTTAAATAAAATGAATTGAAAAAACTTGAAATTATACTTTCTTTTGCGTAAAGTGTAAATGATCGAAATAGGAACGAAGGGAATATGTAACATGAATATTCTATTTTAAAAAATAAGTAATGAAATTGAGTGAGGAAAGAAAACACTATTGAATGTCTAAATAAATAAGTAAATGTGATTATAGTTTTACGATTATGACGGAAAAGAGGTGACTATGGCCCTGTTTGGGAACAGCTTTAGCTATTAGCTTTAGCGTTTTGAAAAAGCTATCTACGGGCAGCGTTTAGCGTTAGCGTTTTCAAAGCGATCTGCACCGTTAAAATTTTATCCAAAACGCTAACGCTAATGTGTAAAGCTATTCCCAAACAGGCCCTATCAAGATTTGGGTTGGGTAAAAATACTTTGAATCCGAACGACATTGTATTAGTCAAAAAATTGATTTTCAAATGTTTTTAGTAAATTAAAATCTTCTATTTGTAAGATGGTACGAGAGGAGTTTCTCAATAAATGATCAGAACGGAAGATATCGAATTCAATCATTACCATTAAAATGTTAAATTAAATAATCAATTATACTAGTTATGGAGTATTTTCAGTGTTTCAAATCCTTAGTTGGTTATATTGAATTTAACTCATTTTATCGTTTACAAAAACCCTTATGGCATGTTTGGGAACATGGATTTGGATTTCAAATCTGGATTTGACTCAAATTCCATGTTTGGGAAATTCAAAAATTTTAAATTTGGATTTGAGTCAAATTCCTCTCATTCATAACAAAGCTTAATTTCAAATCCATGCACCTCCCCTTGTCATTTGAAATTCAAGATTTCGAATCTTGGAATTGAAATGCATGAATTGAAATGAAATGCTAGTTGCCAAACACTACCTTATTTAATTTTAAGCGTTTACATGACCTTATTATAACTCAAAATGATGTCATCAGATAACATTTTCAAAACGCTAATGGTATGTTTGGGAACATGGATTTGGATTTCAAATCCGGATTTGGCTCAAATTTCATGTTTGGGAAACTTACAAATTTGGAATTTGGATTTGAATCAAATTCTTCTCATTCATAACAAAGCTTAATTTTAAATCCATACACCTCTCCTTGTCATTTGAAATTCAAGATTTCAAATTTTAGAATTGAAATACATGAATTGAAATGAAATCCCAGTTGCCAAACATTACCTAATATTAATCTCTTGTATGACAACGCACTTAGAGAAGAAAAATTAATGGAACGGAAGCCGCTGGAGTTGAAGTCGCTCGTCTTTTTGTCAGGTCGGACCATCGAAGATAAAGGACATGGAGCAGAAAATCCGTTGAAAACAATAGAGAAGGAAGATAGAGCCGCAAAGGTTGCCGCTGCTTTACAGAGGTTGACGAAGAAGAAAGGCGGTAGATGGGAGGAGTCGAGGAGAGACCTAGTCGATTGGAAGCCAGGTTATTTATGCCGAGTTTTATTTTATTTGAGAATGAGCATTATGTAATTTGAGAATGAGTACTATTTTAATTTAAAATGAATATTACGTTATTTGTGGATAAATATTATAATTGTAAGGAATAAATGTGTGAAAATGAGTACTACATTATTTCAGAATGAGTACTACGTTATTTTAGAATGAGTACCACGCTAATTCTAAATAAATAGTTATGTTTGTCAGTTTGTGCGAAAATGAGTACTACTCTAAGTACTACCCGGATGTACTTATCTCTAGATATTATTTCAGAATGAGTACTACGTTATTTTAGAATAAGTATCACGCTAATTCTAAATAAATAGTTATGTTTGTCAGTTTGTACGAAAATGAGTACTACTTTAAGTACTACCCGGATGTACTTATCTCTAGATATATCTGGTTCTACCATATGAAAATAAAAATTGATCGGTCGGTAGCACTGAGCAGTGAGTGTTTGACTGTTTGGCACTGCTCTTCGTCCGTCCGTACAGCCCCTCCTAGTATGAATTAGAAACCTAGCGGCGGGCGCTCCCACGCAGGCAGATGACTGCCGCATACTTCCGCACCGCCGCATTCTCTACGGTTCCATTTCCGGTGACTCGCATCCCTCCATTGCGCGTCTCTCTCTTGCGGTAAAAATCTCTCTCTCTCTCTCTTTGTATTCGATGTTTTCAATTTCTTCTGAAGATTATTTAATTCCAAAACTATTATCTCATCGTGTGGGTTTGAATTATGAGATGTACGTATTTGTTCGTTTCTACTTTCTATGTTGATTTTTCACAAGTTTGCGTTCACTTTTTTACCTGATTTATCTTGCCATCTACGTATCGCATTCTTAGTGCCAGTTCCCTGACCTTTTGATTTTTCAAGATCAAACTGATTATGTATGAATGTGTTAATTATGAATTTCTTGACATATTATCATTAGTTGCTTTTCGGAAGCTTCGATTGGAATGAATGTTTTGTTGTTGCTGGTTTTTTTAAATTTCATTTAGTATGGAACTCTATAGAAGTATGTTTAGTGAAAGGAAAAATAGTATATTCCAGCCCAGGCAGCCCACTCTAATGTTTGGCCTGTGTGATGCCGGTCGGGCACGGCCTGGACCAGGGATTTGGAAGAAAATAGCCAATAACCCCTTCCTAGGTCGTATTTGTACAGGTCTACTTATTTATTTTAGTGTACAGGACCTCATATGCTGAATGATTCTGGTATGCCACTTGTTTTGTGTGTATTGGCATGCCATGTGGTAATCCAACTAGTTGCTATCAAAAGGTTCTTTACTCATAAGTCATAATACCTTCGTTCTAAGTAATATATCACTCATGATCCCTCTTTGTGCAGGTTAATTAAATACTGTTTAAGTTCTCTCTTGTGACGATGACCCGGTCCCTTTTGGATAGTGCCAATGTATGGGGGGAGTTCACATTTTCAAACTGAAAGGCTGAAATCTGCACATTCTAAGGTTGTTGTTTTGGTGGCATCTTTCTGGAGAGTGGACTTTGTTGGGTCTGGCAGATACACATAAATCCACAACCCAAGTGAATGGATTCCCAAGTACCTTGCACCTTGATAAATGGGCCAAGACATCGACCTCTTACCCCATTTAGGGTTGTTAGAGGTATTATGTGTCTGGTCGTGTTAGTTCTGACAGCATTTACGTTGTTAGTGTTTTGTGGCTTTTGGGCAGCCATGTGCTTGAGATTCTTCAGTGTCCACTACAGCCGAACCACAACAGCCTTCTTTTTTGGGTCTTGGATAGCTCTATGGCCATTTTTATTTGAAAAGATAAACAAGACCAAAGTGGTTTTTTCTGGGGATTGTGTTCCTAGCAGGGAAAGAGTTTTGCTCATTGCAAACCATAGAACAGAGGTTGATTGGATGTACCTGTGGGACCTGGCATTGCGGAAGGGATGTGTAGGTTCCATAAGGTATATACTCAAGAGCAGCTTGATGAGATTGCCTATTTTTGGATGGGTTTTTCATATCATGGAGTTCATACCAGTAGAGAGAAAGTGGGATGCTGATGAATTGAAGCTGAGGCAGATGCTCTCTTCCTACTCAGACCCTAAAGATCCTCTTTGGCTTGCTGTTTTTCCGGAAGGCACTGATTTCACGTATTATTATCTTGCCTCTTTCTTCACATTTCAAATTAATTAGATACTTCATACTTAATATATTTCATTTTCTCATTTTAAATAACTCCTTTTAGAGAAGAAAAATATGATATTCAATCCGCCCCAAAAAAAGAGTTATGTTTGATCAGAGTGCAACCTTTTACAATTGAAATGGTAAAACACTTGTAAATCATCCATCCTTGGTATTTGTTTTAAAATTATTCTGTTTGTTAAACTAAAGGTAACATATTTTACGTATTTGGAATATTTTTTAAAAACGAATATATGAAATTCAATTAAGATTAGCCTCTTTCGTTGAATTAGAACACTTTATGGAACAAAAATAAGCTTTAAGAGTTCTTGCTTTTTTTGTAGCGTTTGGTATTCACGACTCATGAGGTGTTTTTTTCTGAAATTGTAGTATGTGCTAATAATTGCTACTCCTTATTTTTTTTTCTTTTTTGCAGAGAACAAAAGTGCATACGCAGTCAAAAATATGCTTCTGAAAATGGATTACCAATCTTGAAGAATGTGTTGCTTCCAAAGACGAAAGGATTTTGTGCATGCTTAGAGGAGTTGAGAGGTTCTTTGGATGCTGGTAACTTTTCTCTCACTTTTTTATTCACTGCTGGTATTGTTTCCAATATTGGAGTTCTGCACACTAGAGATGGAGCTATGCAGTAAATAATACTCCATGCTATTCTATCATTTGTATTCACTATGGAGGTAAAAGATTAATAATATTGTGAAAGTTACTCTGAAAACCTCTGTTAGTGAAGAAGTATTATAACAATGGTGTATGCATTCTATCGTGAAGATTCAAATCCCTTCTTACTCCATATTAAATTTCCTCTAGTTTTCATCAACACCTTCTATAAGGATATGATTGGATCCATGAAAATACTAGGGAAAGGAGAAAACGAAATGTTAATGGCTATTATTTTATTATTTCTGGTTTTACCATGGACAACTAAAAAGAAAATTAATCATGATCAATGTTTATTTTCCCATATTTTTAGATTTCTTAATATTTATTTATACTCTTACCAAGTATATGACCTTAGATAGGAAACTTTGGACAAATAGGAAACTTTGGACATCTAGGATTAGAGTAGTGGGGTAGACCTCTAGACCTTAGTTTGTAGTTTATGCGGGTGCGTTTTTACCTTAGTCTGTAGCTTGTGGGTCTAGTTGCTACTTGCTAGTGTTGGTTTATGTGCTTTATGTCTATGTGTCTGTTTTGAGCCGGGTTTTCTTAGAAAAAACCTCTTTACTTCTGAGTAGGAGTAAGGTCTATGCACACACCCTCCCCAGACTATACTTTTTTTGCTGGGTTTGTTGCTGTTGTAAATTTAGACTATAATAATGTCTTTCCTTTCCAATTTCCCCCCGTTTCCAATTCGCTTCCCTATTCTCTTTCCTTTGTATATTAATCATTAACAATCCATCTTTTTTTTATTCTTGGAATGAAGCAGTGTATGATCTCACAATTGGATACAAGAACAACTGTCCTTCCTTCATGGACAATGCCTACGGGGTGGACCCAGCCGAAGTTCACATTTACATACGACGCATCAATCTTAATGACATCCCAGATTCCGAAAGCGAGGCTGCCTCATGGTTGATGGACACATTCTCCCACAAGGACAAACTTCTCTGTGATTTCTATTCTGAAGGCCATTTCCCAAGCAAAGGAGGAATAGAAGGTGAACTCCCTACCTGCAAGTGTCTAGTGAACTTGGCATTCGTTATGTTCTTCACCAGTGCATGTACACTTCTAACCTTTGCATCTGTTTGGCTCAGAATATATGTCACCACTGTCTGTGTTTTGCTTACAACGGCAACTTATTTCAACTTTCGCCCTTCGCCCTTTGTGCGTTTTGGGTGAAAGCAAAGAGATAACACAGACAGTTTTGCTACTACACTGATTGATGCAACGATTTTTTTTGGAGGAGTGGAAGAGTGCATCTGTATTTATTAACTACTGTATTAGGCTTAACGCTAAACGTGTTGTTATGTATCGTCGGAGAAGGGGTAAACAATGAGAATTATGAGGCTGTTTCGGATGAGTAAAATTTTCCTGCAATGGTCTGAGATGAATTTGTTGCGGTTGTGGTTGAATGTGTGTTTTTTTGTTTAATGCTGAAGTTATCAAATTTTGTTTCTGGTCTTTTGTTTTTTTAATCAAATCATCCTTATAAAAAAATTGCAAATGGTCTCCCACTCAAATGAAGCTGTGGTTAAATATGTTTTTTATCCTATAAGATAAGTGAAATTTGCACTGAATAGGACTAAAACATAAGTCATTTTCTAACGTAGGATTTAATTTTTTTTATTTTTTAAATAGGACTTAATAATGACTAGTGAGAAAAATAATGTCTATGTGATGCTGGACATTTAGTTGAATAATGACTAATAGATAATGACCAATGGTCCTACATTGGGAAATAAAAATATATGGTCCTATATGGAAAAAATCATTATGTCTTAGTCCCATTTAAGTAAATTTTTCAATGCTACTCGCTAATATGGAATTGATGTAACCCTTATCATACTCTTTATCCTAGTCATTTTACGTATGTGGATTCTTTTAAGTTATTAAATATTACAGGTATTATTCCTTTGATTTATCATGGTCTTTAATGTAATATTGTCATTATTAATATTTTTATTTAGAGTAAATTTCATAAATGGTTCCTAGTTATATCTAATTATAGATTATTTTTCATATTTAATTCTCAATAATTAGATACTACGGGTATTTCATAAATGGCTCTCAATATTTGAAAACTATTCTATAACCAGTTCTTTAGGGACTATTTGCTGGAAAAAAATTCTCATATTTGGCTTAACAGACAATTTATGAATTAATTTTTCAAAATTGAGGAGCATTAATGGAATATCTAAGAATTAAAAACTAAATATGGAAAACCACCCGTAATTGGGGAGCATTTATGGAATTTTCTTTTTGTTTATATATAAATATGTACTCCGCATATTTTATAAATATTATATTTCAAAATTATTTTTCACAAAATAATTTATTGATAATATTATGATTTTAAAATATTTTCATAATTTATACTCCGTAGTTAATATTAAATTGTTGAGCAAGAAACTCAAAAATGAAAAGAAACAAAGTAGGAGGGAGTAACATATTAAACCTATAATTTGATTTATTCAAAATCATTCTTTATTTACAAAAGACTGTCTCGATTCATTCTATTTCATCAGATCCGGCAAAAAAAATCTATTCTTTAGTTTAGTTCAGCGATTCTATTTAAAAGTCGAAGAGATCTTGCAAGGAAGAGCGGATCTATGGACTCTAGTAATAAGCGAACCAAATATGGTGTATCAGAAGGAATTTTCTTTTTATCTTAATAATGATTTGGAATTAGATCAAATCATTATTAAGCGGTGAAATCAAAAATATAAAACCCTAAAAATTACTCCTAGTACATAGGGTTTTAAAGAATGATAAATGCTTCTATGGTGCACCTTGGGTGCATATCAGGTAGAAAAAACCATTTCTACTCAAAGCAGAAGCAAAATTCTTAAAAGCACGCTCTAAACCTATAATGAAATCTAAATCAGTAAATAAGCGGTGAAATCAGAAATATAAAATCCTAAAAAATACTCCCTGGTTACATAGGGTTTGAATGAATGAATGATATTTCAAAGGGTAATGTGTATCAAGAACATGGTGCTGGCTGGTTGACCTCCTTAATCTCCCAAAATCAAAGGGTAGAAAAAAGGCACATTCAAAGATGAAAAATGGACTCACTAACATGGTTTTACTGTGTGTCAATTGACTAAGCATATCATCATAGAACTTTGTGTGAAGTCAAAACTGTGGTTTTAAACTTTAAACCCACACTTAAGAACACACCAAAGGTATGGGTTTGGCATTGGAGCTGCAGTTGAGATTTGTTATTTTAATTGCCAAACAAAGCACATAGAAATAAATAAATAAATAAATAACAAACTTTTGTTTTTTCATAGAAAGAATGAGAGCTGAACATGATATGACATATGAATAAATACAATATCCTTATTTCATAATGTTAAGAAGAGAAATTGTCATGAGTCATGACACATACATGTTACAATAAAGATGATGAGGAAAAAAACAATTGCAGCACTCTGTCTGTACTATATGAGAAATCAAATCATGTGAATGATATGATCCTTCTAATGGTTGGGTTTTTTTATGATTCTTTGCAATATGACAGTTCTAGCCCTCCTTATGTCCCTGCTACAAACATCAGCCTGCACCCCTAAATCTTCGACGTTCTTCATGAACACGTCCAGATTCTTCTTGATCTCTGTAACGCCGATCTTCACAGCCTCTTCGTTAATGGAGATGTCCACGTTGTTTAAGATCGATTCGATCTGAATCTCCAGCCTGTCGATCAGAACCCTAATGGTGTCCAAGTCCTTGATGGTGACATAACTCCCCACTTGCATGGAGTTTATTATCTCCTTCTGCCCTTTTATGATGTCCTCGTAGTTCTTGAGGAAAGAGTCGATCCATTTACCCATCGAGCCGATGGGGATGGAAGAGGCTGCCGCCAGTGCAGCTGCCACCGGAGGTGCAGCTATGGCGGCAGCCACCACGGAGCAGATCAGAACGGCTGCAAGCGCTGCGGCGAAGATCATGCTCGACACCTTTCTCCATGCATGGATGTACTTTAGCTTCTTATCAAGCTTGTTCTTTTTCGACTGCAACTTCTCCAGCATCAGGACTTGATGCATATACACAGACTGGAAAATCTGGAAAAACTCTTCAGTGAATGGATTCCCAAAAGCTCTGAAGTTGTGCAATTCCTCAAGAGTTCTCGTGTACTTGTTGTCTTTGTTATCCCCTTCGCTCTCTTCCTGGAATTGCTGGAGGGCAACTTGGATCAATAGCTGGGAGTCGCGGGCCCGCTTGAGGCATTTCTCGAGGGAAACGCAGAAGTCTAGGGTTTTGAGGCTGTTCTCAAAATACTCCTCAACCAGTTCAAACAATTCTTGATTCTTCCATATGTCCTTCTTGCATTGCAGGATCACTTTCACAACTTCTTGGTTCATGTCCAACAGACATTCCGTGACTTCCTTCAGGGAATCAAAGGATAATGACCTAACCTCAACCCCCGCAGCAAGGGTACTAATCACCTGACTGGTTCGAGCCTGTAGGGTCAGATCAAAATTCTGCAAATCCGCGTCATCCCTGCACGCCGCTTCATATGAATTCATCAGCTCCGTTTTGTCCTGCAGAGTGTTTATTGCAGGTACCGAAGTTTCCTCGTCGGGCTTTTTGCTAATCTGCCCTCCCATATCAATCTTCAAACAAGGCCAAAAAAGGGAGTGAAAGAAATCAATGACAGGACTCAGAACAGACAATCAACCCACAAAAGGTGATGCTCATCAGATATGGAGAACACACATTTGTGTACCAGCTAAATCAAGTATATGCTTCTATTACCATTAATGGAAGAACCTGCAACAAATTGAGCAAAACCTTCTAAAAACTCAAGCAATTAAAGCCTCAAATGACACAACAAGAACAAGCCTGGATTTTGATGGGTGATTGCGATTTGAGAAAATAATAACCTTGAAGTTGGATTCAGAGTATAAGAAACATCTAACGGTGGTGTTGTTCAGAGAACAAAATTAAAAAAAAAAGGGTTTGGCCGTTTGAGAAGGCATTTCATCGAATAGCTTGCACGCAATAAATTCAAGAATGTGAATGAAGTAGACGAAAGAAGGAAGCAACCCCTTCCTAATCTCTCCATCCTTATTGCAATAATTTCGTCAAGTCTCAATAATGTCTATCCAAACCCGCCATTGACAAATCACATAAAGTTCATAAATTGTTGTCTTCTTTAAAACTCCACTCCAATAAAAAAAAATCAACTTTAACGTCACTGTCTAAATCATTCCCTGTTCCGCTGTCATTCATTCCTGAACATAATCGGAAGGGTGAAAGTGAAATTGAACTTCAAAAAGGAGAATCGGACAAGAATGTCAGGCTGCAACTTACATGTTCAGATCAAATCGAGTGAAATTCCTCAGCAATCTGCGAGTTGCTGTAAAGATTCAAAGAAAAAAGAGAAAGAAGGATTGATTAGCTCGCAGATTTGGGTTTCTGGGGAGTGGGCAAATCACAGATTTATAGTGTGAATGTGGGGATTAGTATGTGATAAGTCTGGGCTTCGCCGGAGACTTGCAAGTGAAGCAATTCATTTTGGGGCCATTTTATTGAGAAAATTTAACTGAAACTTCTCCGGAGTAAATGTTAATGTTAGCTGTGTATGTGCTGTGGATGGGTTCTCCTCTCTTTCTTCTTATCTCTTTCATTGTTTTCTCATTCACATCCCCACTTCATAAATTTCTTATCTCCAGAGTAAACTTTTCTTTGCATGAATTTTAGGCACACAAATTCAATTTTGTTAAAAGAGAATTTAAAAAAAGAAAATTCATGAAAGGAAATTAAAAAAAGAGTAAATTTCCCTAAATTTTTAGTTATTTTTTAATTTGATAGCAAAATTTTGTTTTCTTTCACTAAAATACTTGAATTTTGAAAAAAAAAAAAAGTTTCACGGAAATTACCTGAAGCCAGTTTTCAGATAACCATCAAATTCTTGGGACCTAGTTATAATTTCATATATTTTTAAATATTAAATTTGACCCTCACTTCTTTTTCTTCTTCTCCCTCTCTCACTCTCCTCCTTTTTTTCATCTTCTATTTCAAAGCTCCCCACCCCCTTCCCCAGGACTCTTTTTTCAGCACTCTCATTTCTTTTTGAGCCCCCTCTTTTTTGTTTAATTTGTTACTTCTTTTTTTTTAAGTTTTTCTTGTTTCATATTTTTCGATCTTATTTTGTTTTATTCTTGATTTTTTTCCTTGATATTTTATTATTATCAATTTGTTTGGTAATGATTTATTTTGTCAATTTTTTTGTAAGTTTTTTTATTGTTTCTGTTAATAACTGGCTCATTTTTTGTTTGCTTTACTCTTTTATTTTTATATTATTTTTTCTTTTATTTTTTGTTTGCTTTCAATTGTGTTTTGTTGGTTATTTTTATACATTTTATTTTTTTCATAAAAATGAATTAAAAAATTATTTGAAATTTAGATTTATTTTTTGGATTGTTCTCTTTATGTGTCAATTATTCTTAGTTCAATTATTTTAATTTAGTAAATAATTTGTATTATTTTATTGGTCATTTCAATTAAAAATGATATTCTTTTATGTTTTTTGGTTGTCTTATTTTTTGTTTGTTATCGATTTTTTTGTAAACAATAAAATGGAAGTAATTAAATAAATAAGCCAAAATAAATGAAAAGATGAGAACTGCTCTAGAAACAAACACCGTAATTTTCAACAAATAATAATAAAATAAAAATAACTGATTAATCTTTTTTGTTTTCTTTTTGTTGTGTTAGCAAACGTCTTATCATTTTTTTTATATTTTTTTGAATGTTATTGACTTTATTACAAGGTAGTATCTGTTCATACTATTCTCAAGCTAATGACGCACAAAGAGCCAATGTTGCTGCCTTCGCTGGGGCTCGTACCTGGGTGAACTTCCCCATGAATCCTGGGGAGTGGGCTTGCTACCACTCAAGCCAGGGGAGAAGTTCATCATTTTTTTATATATTTTTGATAAAAAAGCAAAAAATAATTCATACTTGGATTCATTCTTTTTTTGTGTGTACGGTTATCTCTTTTTATGTTTAACTTATTCTTAGTTTGGTTTGTTTTATATTATAAAGTAATAATTAGGGTTATTTTATTTAAAATTTTAATCAAGCATAAAATGGTATTTTATGTATTATTTTTTGTTTGTGTTTTTGATATTTTGTTTTTTTTCAATTGTTATGTATTTATTTGGGACTTATTTTATTAATAACTTGTTTTGTTTAGTTTTTTACAATAAAGAAAAAATAAAAAAAATTAAAAAATTAAAAAAATCAAATTAAAAAAACAAAAGGTTAAGACAAATGGTTTAATTTTTTTATTTAGTTAAATTGATTAGATAAAAATTAACAAGTTATTAACTGAAAAGATAAGGGAAAACAAAAACAACAAAACAGATAAATAAAGGAAAAAAGAAAGAAAAACAAAAAAACCAAACAAAGAAAAAAAATATGAAAGAAAAGGCATAAACCGAATCAAAAATAAATAAAGATGTCAAAAAGGAACTAAAGAAAAAATAGCATACAGAAACAAAGAGAAAATATTTAAAAAAATGAAAAAAGAAAGAAAAAAGAAAGCAAAATGAAGAAAATTAAAAGAAAAAGGAAAGGAATGATAAAAAAGTGAAAATGAATAAAAAATAAATAAAGAAATAAAGAAGGATCAAAAGATAAAAAGAAGCAAAAGAATAAAGGAAAAAGTAATGAATAAGAAAAAAGAAAAGAATGAAAAAAACAAAAGAAGAAAAGGAGAGAAGGGGGAGAGGGTTTAAAAAGAAAAAAAATAAGTAATGGGAATCTAAGGAGTAAGAAAAAGAAGAAATGGGGGTTAATGTGAAAAAATAAAAATCCAAATTTTGCAATTTAGCTCAAAGTAACTTGTTGGTAACCTGGTATTGGCAAACTGATTATTAGTGAAAAGGATGGTAAAAATTCAAGTATTTTTGTGAAAACTTTTGAAATTCAGGTACAAAATCATAATTTTTGTGAAAGTTTATGTACCATTATTGAAATTTACTGGACCACCAATCCACCATAACATAAACTAGTTATTTCTATCTTTAAATAAAATGAGACATTTTTAGAAAAAAAGGGGTAAATTAGTCATTTCCATCTTTAAATGGAATGCAACATTTTATTTTACGACACCTAGATAAGTAAAGCTGGATACCGAGTATTTATTTAGGGATGGAGGATTACAATGAATTTTTTTTTTTTTGAATAATTGAAAAAAGAATGTAAGATTTTTTTTATCAGATAGAACTACAAATTATTAGCTCTTCCGTCCTAAAATTTCACACGCTCTTTACAAATTATACCCCCTCTTTTAATAAATTCTAATCACACGTTCTTCACTTTTTAATACTTTTCTTAAACATCCAAGAAGTTAAATTTAAATATTTTTTACAAGATGGAGGGAGTATTTTTTTTAAAGTGCTACTATATATCTGCCATTTGTGCATCTCAATCGTTGAAATGATCAACATCTTGCCACAAAGAGTTGAGTAGATTTTTTGGAAGGATAAAAAAAAGAATAGCGATTCATATTATGTCATTTACTCCATAATTTTTACTCGGTAACATTTTTGTATAAAAAATCAATAAAATAAAATGTATCCGAATAACATTGGTACTCGTAATATATTAGGATCAAATAGTCAACAAAAATATAGTGTGGTAGGCAAATATTTACTACCATGATAAATATTGTTTTTTTGCATATTGCTTTGCAAAAAAATACTTATCAGGATAATAAGTATGACTTTTACATTTGTCAAAAAAAAAGTATGACTTTTACATGTATGAAATGATAGGGAGCTACAATCTACAACATGGAAGGGCAAAATATTGGTCTGGCACCAGCGTATATAATCCCAGCATCATCTGCACATAGATCAATCATTTCCAGACCCAGTCATTTTCATCACTGAATAATTATTATTATTATTTTATAATTATTTTTATTATTATTTATTATTATTACTATTTACAGCGTGAAACTTTCATACATACCTGCAAGTTTGGACAATGAATACTCCGCAGGCACATTGGAATCCACTTCTACAGCAGCTTTAGCTGCTGCAATCCCGACGGCTAAACTCTGCATGAAATCTAAACCAGCACAAAAAGATGCCAGGGTCCCACCCACCAAGCAATCGCCCGCCCCGGTGAGTCTGGCAACTGATGTCGAAGACAATGCCGGAAAATGCACAGCAAACAAATCCGACTTCGATTCGCGTTTAAAGAAACTGTTAAAGGCGTGATTTTGAGGGCACTTTGATGTCACGGCTTCAAATAACTCTTTTCTAAAGGACAGAGGGTGTGTTTTCCCTCTGAAACCGACATGTTTCTTGATGTTAACCATTTCTTGGAAGCATAAGAATGCCCCATTGGATCCGATGGTCACGATTAATACTTTGACGCCTTTGTCCAGGAGGACTGAAATTGCAGGTTTTAGCCTTTGAAACATAGCTTCTAAGGATAGCTTTAGGCAGCCATTAGATTTTTCTATTGGATGGAATACATCAGCCCCTGACACTGCAATTCCCATCGCTATGAGTTCATCCTCATTGGGTGATGCAAATGTAATCTGCAAAACAAACAAAAAGTGATATAAGAATATGCCATCACCATAGAATTGTGGTGCGGGATGAACGGAGAGGATTTATTTGCGGGGCGTCCCAGGGCTTGGGGCGAGTGGAGAGCACATTGTTGGCAGAGGCTATCGGGGTCCGAGAGGCTTGAAAGTGGCTCAAGGCACATTTTTCGCAACGACGACGCGTGATAGAAATGGATAATCAAACTGTCTTCAAGGCTGTGCACGAAGGCGACAATAGTTTCTCTTATTTCATAGGTGTTATTCATGATTGTATGTTGTGGAAGTCTGAGTTCAGTTCTATTAGATGGTCATTTGTTAGAAGATCAGCGAATTAGGCCACCCATCTGTTAGCAGCTAAGGTATTTGATTCTATGTCTAAGAGTCTGGAGTGGGTGTTGGTCCCTCCTGATTGTATTTGCAATGTTTTAAGAGATAATGCATGAATAGTACAAAATCTTTTCAAAAAAATGCCATCACCATAGGTTTTGCTTTTACCCCCGCTATGCAAAACTCATGAGACTTGGTTTACGATTTCAGGGTCTTACTGAGGATATGACCTTAGATAGGGACGCATGAAGATCTAAGATTAAAGTAGTTCGGTAGATCTTTGTGCATTAAATACTATGATAAACTAATACTCAATAATATAGTCCAGGTAGATAAAACAGAAGATGGAGACAATCAACCAAACTAACATAGATGCACAAAATTTCCTTGGTACTCACATAATTGACAATTGAAGCAATTCTTCTAGATTTCAACACTGAGACCGGCTCAAACCACACTGGAGTGTTACCTTCAGCTGCAACTGAAAGACATAAATTCCAATTAACCTCTGACCCGAAAGAACTTACTTTGCTTCTTCCACAATAAACAGATAGAGAAAAGAAACACATGCCGAATGAGAAAACATACTTCGACAAGATGCTTGCAGAACAGAAGGATTCAAGTTTGCATCTAGCAGCAAAACTGGGGCAGACAGAATATTGTATTTGAAGTTATGTATCCACGTGGTCGTAAGAAATTTCTCCTGTTTTCTTAGTTTCAGGATGAGTGAAATATGTACGAATTTATACATACTTTCAAATAAGCAAAATCATTTGTGAGGAAGCAACTTACAACGGCCTCAACGTTAGCAACACCTGCTGCCACTTCTCCTTTACTATCATATATGTGACAAACTGTCGCAGTCTCAATAATATGATGTCTACGAATACCTTTAAAAAATTGACAACATTAAATGAAGGTAAATGGGATGGATTAGCTCATGTTGCATTAAGGTAATCCACAAGTATTCCCATTTTCTACTCTATTCTATCAAAGTTCAATACCCTCATGTCCCTTTTACCCCCCTCAGTGTGTGCCAATTATGGTCTCCCTGGACTTTTTAAAAAAAAATCTTCAATGTTTTATAACTTCACTCATACTCCCTCCGTCCCTAAATAAAGTTCCTCTTTCGTTTTTTCTTTGTCCCTAAATAAACTTCTCTTTTCCCTTAAAAAACCTCTTTTACCCCTTACTTTTTCATACCCTACCTATCACATCATACCTTTTTACTAATAATCTACCTATCACATCTTACTTTAACACATCACATCAAGGGTATTTTTGGAAAGTCAACACCAAAATATCCCTCCCTTAAATCCTCAAAAAGTCAAAAATGGAACTTTATTTAGGGACGGAGGGAGTATTAAACATTGGTAGTCAATATCTATATACAAAATACTCCCTCTGTTCACACAAACGATTACTATTTTGACTAATGGGAGAAATAAGGAGTGTATATTTGTAGTTGACTTTCCAAATTTGCCCTTGATGTGATGGGTAAAAGTAAAATGTGATGGGTCGATTATTAATGAAAAAGTATGATCTGATAGGTAGGGTAAGAAAAAGTAGGGTTCAAAGTGGTTTTTTAATCGAAAGTGAAAATGTTTTGATGAAAGAGGAAAAAAATGAAAAAAGAAGTGTTTTGGTAAACGGAGGGAGTAACAATTATAAATCTTTAGTTAATAAAATGCCCTTCCTAGTTTTTCAACCCTTGCATCTTCATTCTTCAAGATGATTTTCTTCTTTTCACATAATTTTTAGGAATCTTTTTCTTTATATTTTAACATTTTGTTTTATTCCCCCCAACATATTTAGTTTTGTTTCGAGAATTTTACACTTGCCGATTTTAGCTTTTGAGTTTGATAAGCTCTAGCTTTCGAATCCTTTTATTAAAAACCAAGTGGAACCTCTAATTCAGAGAGAAGCTCTTGCAAGCATAATCTAATATATCGTCCCCCCCCCCAGCTCATATAATTGAGAGTAGCCCTTGCAAGCATAATCTAATATATTTGAATCCTTAAATCTATTAGATTTTGTGGTCTCAACATGATAACATTAAACAATCAAGATTTAAAATCCATGTTTTGGGTATTTTATTTTCTTCAAAAGCACTTTGTAATAATTAGTTTATTGGTTTTATAAGCTAAGGCTGAGGTCTTAAATTTTGACCGATGTTTTGACGATTTCCATTTGAACTTTAGAATGGAACCTATTTATATGAATCGGGACCAAATGTTCTTTTAGAGTTACTCTGCCAGTATCATTCAGGTTATTATTTATTATTGCATGCAAATTATGATATCTTATCACGCAAAGCTCCTATGATGCTCTTGAATATGAGATAAACAAACCAAATGACATGTAAGAAGCGTCTTACAAGATTTAAATTATGTCGACATCAGGAGAATAAGACAGCACTAATTTTGACCCATATAAATAGCGTGTTGTGTGTGATAATGTAAATTTTTTTATTCACTCCGTCCTTTTTTGACTTTACGGAATTTAAGCAAAGTGTGGCTAGAACTTGTTCAAAAGGGAGAGAATCATTGTACGCCACACAGTCTTTTCTTTAAAAGGGAGTGAGGGAGGTGTGAAGTTTATCCTCGGACATCCTAAAAAGAAAGTGTGAAGTTTATTTTGGGACATCATAAAAAAGAAAGTGTGAATTTAATTCGAGGACACTGGAAGTATTAAATATGATGTGATTAAATCAACGAATTGGAAGTAACGAAAAAATATTTAAGAATCTACCTTCCATAGATAACCCTGCAGATTTCCAGTGTTCCAATAGCAAATTTCCTATCAAAAGAGGAAAATACTTTTAAAATATTACTCTGTACTCTTATGTCCCATATTTACTGAAAAACAAGATAATTAACTAAAAATAATTGCCCGGTCAGAGGCAAAGTTGAACATGCTACTTCGATGAGGGTAATACAGCATTTTCATGTTAAAAAGTGACAGAAACCCTTTAGGATCTTGCTCAGTTACAAACACTTTTAGTTTAAACCTTTCTTTGCCCGATTCATGTAAAATAGTACTCATACTCATCACCTGCCATGTCAAATCCCACAGCACTTATTAGGTTTGGCTTTGCTCCAAGCTTTGACATGCATTCAGCTATATTCCTTGCAACACCACCTAATGTATATATAATCTGCATGCCAAGGCTGAGAATTATATCTTGGCATATAAGTTATGAAGGTTAGGTGGACAGACTGTGACAACAACAACAACCTACCCAGTTATATTCCACATGTGGGGCGTTGGGGGGGGGACCTACAAGAAGTTATATCATATAATATGCGTACAGGTGTTAAACACCAATCTTTACGTTTTAGAAAAAAGAAGAGACTACCCAGCTCACATTAAGAGTCAATTTGGAGAAAAACTTTTGGTTCACAATAGGTGTCTATCTTTACACCAAATACTAATTAATGCAATTTTTTATTTCTCCCCTCCTTTAAAAACTATATTCCTTCATCTGCGTAGTTTCTCTAAAGGAATACTTATTTTGAACCAGATGGAGTAATTCATTCGCCTAGAAAGCTGACCTAGCATGATCGCATAGTAATGAGATCAGTGTTTGAATCTTCTTCATTCAAGTTGTAATATTGAAGGTACATAATTTGATTCTCGGATCAAACACCCTAAGATAAAATATATGGCCTCCGATTCTGAGTGAGACCTATCAGCAGAAGTAAAAGTATGAACTTGGCTTCCCACATGCACCCAACTGCAACCAACAAGTTTCCTGACTTCCTTCCCTCTCATCAGCTTCATCATCCTCCCCATCTCACTCCACTTCCCCTCTGAGGCATATATACTAGCCAACTGCACGTATCTCGCCCCAGTTTCCCCTTGTTAGGCGTTATCACGGAGGAGACGACAAAAACGTTCAAGCCACAAGGACAAGTAGAACGTTCGTAAGTGTTTGCGTGGGTTTTGTTGACGTAGACCAAGTTTCCCTTAACGAGGGTAATACGGATGACGGAAAAGTTCAACTAAGGGGGAAGGCATGTTTAGTTAGTATGTACTTATTACTAGTTATAGTCCACTCTAATTATACTCTTCTATCATTGAATTAAAAAACTCTTCCCCGGTTTTTATTAGGCCTCTGTGACGGCACATGGAGAGAATGGCAAGGAACGTTACTGCATCTGGTTGAAAACCTCTAACTTTCATTTCTCTGAAAAGTAGAAGGGGTTCATTTTCATAACCATGGTGAGCATAACCACCTATCATCGTAGAATATAACACGGAATCTTTTCTTTCACACTGTTGAAATATGTTTTCCGCATATGATACACTTCCACATTTCGAATACATATCAACCAAACTGTTCGTTAGTTTCTCATCCATCACAATTCCAATTCTTAACAAATAGGCATGTGTTCCCTTTCCATGACTTAAACTTGCACGCACTGCACAGGCGCCAAGTATGTTTAGGAGAATTAGAGCATCAGGGGCGACATCATTCTTCATGAACTCCTTAAAAAGGTGAAAAACTTCATCGCATTGCTGAGATTTCATATAACCTGACATTATAGCTGTCCAAACCACGGGATTCTTTTCAGCCAAAGAATCAAATAGGTGTCTAGCTGCTAACATGTTACCATCTGCAGAATATCCCACCACCAGCGACGTGATGGAAAAGGGATTCTGTCCCTCAATAGTTTTGTGAACAGATTCAGCATATTTCAAATTACCGCACCTACAATAAACATCAACGATGCCACTACTTATAAATGGATTAGAAACTGCCCCTTTCTTTGTAACCCAGGCATGAATCTCCTTCCCAAGCTTCAAATCCTTTAGACTAGCACAAGCAATCAAAACACTTGAATAACTGTGTTCATTCCATGAAAGACCCTCCTCTTCTGCCATGAGTTTGAACAATTGGATTGCTTCCTTCTCATATCCATTATGAGCGTATCCTGAAATCATTGTGTTCCAGGAAATAGCGTCGTTCAAACCTGGGTTTCTCCAAAAGATTTTATGAGCCATCTCCAGTTGGCCTTCTCTGAGACATGCTGCTACAAGTGCGTTCTTCGATACCAAGTCCACCGCTTGACTATCACATGCACTAAACACTGCACACGCATCTTGAAAAGATCCACACTTTGAATACATATCAATCAGAGAACTAACTGAGAACAAACTAATATCATTGCAAGTCTTGAACATATAGGAATGCAGCTGCTTTCCATAAGACAGGGCACCCAGCTTTGCTGTCAGACCAAGCATCAGTGTTAGACTAAACCCGTCTATTCGAGCTTTATCACTCTCATACTGCATTGCAACAAATACTTCAACAGCTTCATTTTCATACCCACTGTGGTTTACATAGCCAGAAAGCAACGAATTGTAGGTAACAGAATCTCTCTGGGGCGCAGCATCGAAAAGCTTACGTGCACAGCCAATATTTTTGGCTTTCACTTGGGCATTTATAATGGTATTCCAGGTGAAGACGTTTCTTTCTGGCATTTCTTCGAACACATTAAGAGCTTCTCGGATTAGACCATGTTTGGAATACAGATGAATAAGTTGGTTTGCTGTGAGGATGGGAAGTGTCAAACCAGTTTTTACTGCGTGGGCATAGGATTTAAGCCCGTCTACAAGCGACCTCATTTAGAGACTCTAAATTACAATGTCCATTCAATTATTCAATAATGTTGGAAAAATACAGCTGAGATATTGTTTCTTGGGCCTACAAAAAAGACTTGTAGATGAAGACATCAAACCTTTCCAGGAGTGGTTGTCCCGGGATTAGCAGGAACCGCAGGACTGCAATTTATATCCAACACCATACCCCCTATCACTACAGCCTCCGCCGCGGCCGCGGCCGCTACCCCACCGCTGGATTGACCCTCTTTACTCAGCCTCTGAAAAATACAACGATCAGCAACTATAGAATCCGGTATTTCGTAATAAATAATGTCAATCTTGGAGGGAAAGATACGAAATCCAAGCTTTTAGGTTTCACCTCCATTGATGAACCTTCTGTGCTCTTCTGAGGATGAACAAATAAGGATCCCGCCAGGATCTTGATATAAATTGTTAGCCCGAGGACCTGGGCCGGCGTTTTCAAAACTAATTTATATCATTACAATTTTTGTCCAAAATGCTAACAACAATAAAAAAATGTGGTTCCCAAACAATGACTAGATAAAATATTAAACAAGTCTCATAAAATTATTTTTGTATCAATATCTAATACATTTTTTTACTAATTAGTGGTCAATGTCTATCAATTTTGATTGCAAAAGATCAAAAGAAGTCAAATACATATGAGTCAAGGGCGGAGGTAATACGTAGTATGAAAAAGTAAAAAATGTATATAATCCCTCCATTCTATATATTTTCTTACTTTTGATATTTTCATTGTCCCAAAATTTTCGTCCTTGTATTTTACATTTAAGGAAAAAAGTTGAAAGGTTATTGTAACTCCACATTTCTCTTTTCTTGCTCCATACAAATCATAACCACACATTCTATTTTATTTAAAATTGCGCCAAATCAAATTAAATAAAGAAGAAAATTATACAATAGAGAGAGTAAAGAAGTTAAATTCCAACTATTAAGGTCCCTCGGTATTTACCCATACGTGCAAGCATCTCATGTATAACATAACTACTCTATCCGTTCAACAATGATCTTCTCGTTTATTGTTCACATAGTCAAACATTATACACTTTATTCACTTCTAGTTTGTAAAAATTTTAATGTAGTTTTTAAATATGTAATTAATTACTCATTATTTTTCATATAAAATAATTTAAAAATATTTTTAAAGGAAGTATTTTCTAGGAAGTAAACTCTAATTCTATCTATTTTTTGGACCAATTAAGTTATTCCGTGGCAATTAAAAATATGAGGATGTGGTTGTTATCAATCTACTTTTGGATATCATTGACTAATTGGTTTGAATTGTGAATTTTTCCACGCATGCATTTCAAGCTAAGAATTCAACGTTATATAAACTAGTCTGTGTTCTTTAAAAGATTGTCATAATTTAATTTTTTTAGTCAAATTATAAGATATTTTGACCAAAAATTAAATATTCCAAGATTTTAAAATAATTAGATGTTACTCCTTCCGTCCCAAATTATAATGTATGTTCACTATTCACAGGGTCAAACTTCATTTACTTTCTTTCTTTATTTTCGTTAGCAATTTGATAAAATAAATTACTATTGTCACTACTAGTTTTGTAGATCTTTTGATTTTGTTTTTTAATATGTAATTTTTATTTTTTAGCTCTATACTATTTGTCATATAAAATGATTTGAAAATAATTTCAGTAAAACATCGTAAACCGAAATAGGTAATATAAATTGAGACGGAGGGAGTATAAAATTTTGATATTTCAAAATCATATCTTAAAATATACTCAAATTTACTATATATATATATATATATATATATATATATATATATATATATATATAAAGTATATATCTTAAAATATACTTATAACTAAGTATATACAAGTATATTTTTTCATAATTGGTACGGTGATCAAAGAATATTATAATTTGACCAACAAAATCAAACTGTAAAAACCTATTAGTCAAAGTATAAAGCACACAATTATTGTCAGATCGACTTGAGAGTGTGTGAAGTGTGAACGGCATCCGGTTATGGGTAACACGTGCACAAACTAATGGTATTTGTTTGGATAACCCCTCAAAATCTAAAAAAACAGCTATATATTCAAAGTTCACTCATTATTCTTGTTTTAAAAGGAAAAAGTAACTGCCGATATTTTTTTGCGACGAACAATAAAGTAAAGAGTGATTTTGGGTTGTTCCAAAATCCTGGTTAATCTTTAATTTTCTCTATCTAACCAAATTTTAATAAACAAATTGTGATTTCCAATTTACCAAAAAGTGACTCAAGTGACATTAGAAAGGCTGAAAGGATCCCATTAGAAATATGAGTACTACTTTTGTCTCAGTGTATTTGCCTAATTTAATTTTTATAGTCCAACAAAACAAATTTTTATTATTAATTAAATAAATTAAGTCCACATTGTTTACTACTCCCTCCGGCCCATTTTATAACGCATGTTTCGGTTTACGGTGTTTGACTAAAATTATTTTTAAATCATTTTATATGACAAATGATATATAGTTAAAAAATAAAAATTACATATTAAAGTACTACATCAAAAGATCTACAAAACTAATCGTGACAATATTACTTTATTTTATCAAAATTGTAACGAAAATAGAAAAAGAAAGTGAATGAAGTTTGACCCTGTGAATAGTGAACATACATTATAATTTGGACGAAGGGAGTAATAAAATAAGTTAATTGTTTAAAAATATTTTATATATAATATATATAACTATAATTGTATTAGGTAGTGTTTGGCAATTAGCATTTAATTTCAATTCATGCATTTCAATTCCAAAATTTGAAATCTTGTATTTCATATGACAAGGGGAGGTGAGCATGGATTTCAAATTAAGCTTTGATCTGAATGTAAAGAATTTGATTCAATCCCAATTCAAAATGTTTAAGTTTCCCAGACATGGAATTTAAGACAAATCCAGATTTGAAATCCAAATCCATGTTCCCAAACATACCATTAAATTATTTTTGTTGCAATACGTGATTTAACTTTAGAAATTGATGATAGAAAATTATTTATACTCCAATGCAAAGAGTCAAGCTAAAAAAATTAGAATATACTCTGACGGGATTTAGTCCAACAACTATGATGACACGAAGAAAAACTCTCGGTAAATATGCTCTTTAGTAATTTTTGTATTAAGTTGATCTAGCTTGACTTACAATAGAGAATTCATCTCTTGTTTGTAGTCTAACGGTACTCTATACAAGGTATGTCAATTTTGTGTCGTATTATTGGAAAGTGTGGCCGATCGTGCATAAATTACGGGCAAAACATTCGTTTTCGATCTCATCCAAATCCCCACGATCATGGATGGGGATTTCGCTCCACGCATATCTTCCTTTTTAGCTCTTTAGGTTGGTTTCAGCCTTTGGTATTTCTCGGTCTTTGGGCGCGCGTATCTCTCTATAGTTTGGATCATGGCCCTTATCGTCTATGTTGGGCTTTATGAGAACGTACTTGGGCCTTTTCGGCCCACTTTATGAACTCGATATCCATCACACTCAAAGGGGATATATAATACTCCCTAACTGTGAGATTGGGGAGTAGTATAGTTTTTTATGCTTTGGATATTACTTCGTATATCTCTATTTTAGAATAGTTCTTCGGTTTTGATCTTTTGTAGTTAAAATAGATAAACTTTAAATTAAACATAAATCGCTTTATAAATTATCGTACAACACAGAGTCTGGTACTTCGTCTTCATAAACTACCATAGAAAAGCATAGTAGCATACCCTGTTTTACCTTGGCAAGTAACTGAATCTTGACTTACCCTATCAGGAATAAATGTTCACATGCATATATATTGGGAGTTAACTGAGCTAAAATCTTGATTATGTTCAAATACGTGATTCCAAATTAATTGAATATTTTGTCTAGTGTTATTGCCTCTATTGTAATTTAATATTTATTCATATTATTATCATGAATTTTCGAAAGTAAGTTTCCTAGGAAATATTGACCCGGTCAATAGTGTTGGATTTAGACTCACAATTTTTCATTTTGTTGGGTATAGGATGCCATATATTCTTCACCTACCGACTACTCCCACTAGTCATTTAGTCAATAAAAATGTTGAATAAGTTTCGCTGGCTTTTTGATAGCCAACTTTAATTGTCTAATGAATTACTACCTCCGTCCCGCT